AAAGACTCAGGTGAGGAGATCAGCATGGCTTACTGAGAAGGCCAACAATTGGGATCAGCCATGAAAGCAGCATTTAAGGCTTTGCACCTTATTTACTTATTTATTTACTTTATTTGTATACCGCTCTTCTCAGCCCTTATGCGACTCAGAGCGGTTTACAACAGTTTAGATATACAGAATACAAAATAATTACGCATTTAAAAACAATTACTAGTATTATATTGCATTACATTACAATATTATAAATATTATATGTATATACAATATATTATATTATAACATATTATTAGAATAGCACAGGAGACAAGGTGGAACTTATGGCTTTGTCCTTGCATAGTTACATTTGGCCGTTGATGGGGAGGGGTCCCCAACGGATGGCAAATGCAGGAGACAAGATGGTGCTGTCCCCTGGCCTCCCCTCTCTTTGCTCTGGCCCAGAGTGGCAGTTGGTGCTGGGGGGAGGGGTCCCCAACGGATGGCAAATGCAGGAGACAAGATGGTGCTGTCCCCTGGCCTCCCCTCTTTTCGCTCTGGCTGCAACTTCTGCCTGGACCTTGGAACCTTGTCTCTCATGTACCCTTTGGAATTTAGACTGCTCCTCAACAGACTACGGCTATTGACTTGTGGACACAACCTTGTTGCTTGGCATTCTGGTATTTGGCTTTGACTCTGGGATGGACACTTAGCTTTCCCTTCTCCTTGTTTCCTTGAGTTCTGTTTCCACCATGGATTAACTGGTTTGATCCTGGACTGCAGTAATAATAATAATAATAATAATAATAATAATAATAATAATGCTATATTTATATTCCAGTCTTCTCCTCAAGGGGACTCAGAATGGATTACAGTGTATAAACAGACACAGGCAAACATTCAATGTCTTGTTACAGTGAAATGCAATGAAACACACATACACAGACAAAGGTAAAGGCTTCTCCTTTCATTTCTGGCTCTGGGGGAGGTGCTCATCTCCATTTCCAAACTGAGGAGCCTGCATTGTCAGTAGACACCTCCTGGTCATGTGGCTGGCATGACTCCATGGAGCGTCTTTTTGCCTTTCCCACTTAAGCAGCTGAGGGGAAAAGGAAGGGGCCTGAGGCTGTTAGGAATGGTGGAAGTCCAAAACACCTGGATGGTTCAAGTTGACCAACGCCTGCCTTAAGCTCAATGCTATGAAATCAGGGTGGTTGTCCTTCCACAAGGGCTTCCAGCCTTCTCTGCCAAAAAGGACACCTACACACAACCCCCTACACCATAACCCCCTGCAGTCAAGATTTGTGGGAACGAGGGAGAAAGCCTTTTCCACTGTGGCTCCCCATCTTTGGAACTCACTACCTGGTGAGATCAGGCAAGCCCCCTCTTTAGCAGACTTCAAGAAAAATCTGAAAACCTGGCTCTTCCGATGTGCCTTCGGAGAGTGACCATTCATGCCCATTTCTGTCCCCCCCCCTTTATTGTTGCCTCTATATGTACTCCCCCATCCTAAACTCAAAGCCTTGTCCCACTGTTCTTATAACTTTGGGGCTCCCCTCACTTACATATTTTTATTCCTACCTCACCCAGGGTTTTATTATTTTATAATTTTATCTTGTCCATTCAGCCTGCCCATCTTGTTCGATTTTATTTTGTGTGAATTTGCTTTATTATTTTATTTTGCTATTGTAATTATTTTCTGATGTAATTTTTGTTTTCTGTGTTCTGTTTTTTATTGTGTTGTTTTGTATTTTTGGCCTCATGTTAGCCGCCCCGAGTCCCCATTGGGGAGATGGTTGCGGGGTATAAATAAAGATTATTATTATTATTATTATTATTATTATTATTATTATTATTATTTTACTGACACAAAAGCACAGTATGTCACAGCAAATGAGATTTATATGCTGGATTTCATATCACAAAATCACAAGTCGAGCACTTCCCAAGCATCTAGGATTGTGTGATGTATTTTCGAATGATGCGTGCAGATCCAAGTACGGTGGCCTTTTGGAGTTGACAGATTGTGATTTTGTCTACGTTTATTGTTTCCAAATGCCGGCTGAGATCTTTTGGCATGGCACCCAGTGTGCCAATGACCACTGGGACCACCTATACTGGTTTATGCCAGAGCCTTTGCAGTTCGATTTTGAGGTCCTGACAGTGGCTGAGTTTTTCCTGTTGTTTTTCCTCAATGCGACTCTCACCTGCTATGTTGGTGGCACCCTCCCCCCCCCCCCCCCCCCCCCCCCCCCCGATGGGTGCCACCTTGTCGTGGTGGGGTGCTTAACTGCTCCAAGGACGCTGAGAGCTGTGCTGGTGGTAATGTAACTACTAGCAGGCAGAGGCAGCCCTAGGTAATTTTCAACGGTAAGCAAACAGTATTCCCCCCCCCCCCCGCCCAACCAATCAATTCTGTTCGTCGTGGGAGTTCTGTGTGCCATATTTGGTTCAATTCCATCATTGGTGGAGTTCAGAATACTCTTTGATTGTAGGCGAACTATACATCCCAGTAACTATAACTCGCATATGTTAAGGTCTATTTTCCCCCAAGAGCACCCCTGGGCAAAATCAACTATACTGCAAATGCTTACTTTGTGTAATGGGTTGAGCCGTCCCTGCTAGCAGGTGTAACCAAGCCAGAGAAGTCCAAGCTGAGGAGTGGAACCAAGAGCACCTAACCCATTAGCATTATGGAGAAGCAAACCAAAATGAAGTCTATACTGGCTCAGTCGACGCCCAGGATAAAAAGGAACGTGGTGGATGCTGCTGATTCTGGACATCCATCGACAAGTGGGCTACAGAATCAAAATATAAATAAACAATCACAGAAGCGGCAGAAATATACAATGCCAGAAAACCGCACTATTATTATTATTATTATTATTATTATTATTATAAACCATTGCCAAAAACGCATTATTATTATTATTATTATTATTATTATTATTATTGCCAATTTGAGGCTGTTTGAATGGGAGGAGTGCAAGGAAAGGTCTCTCTCTCTCTCTCTTCAAAGCCTGGGCACACCTTAATATCCCAAGTGAAGGTTATAGACCAGTGTTTCGCAACCTGGGGGTTGGGACCCCTGAGGAGTCGTGAAGGGGTGTCAGAGAGGTTGCCAAAGACCATCAGAAAACACAGTATTTTCTGATGGTCATGGGGATTCCATGTGGGAAGTTTGAGCCAATTCTATCGGTTGTGGAGTTCAGAATGTTCTTTGATTGCAATGAACTATAAATCCCAGCAACTACAACTCCCAAAAGTCAAGGTCTATTTCCCCCAGGCTCCACCAGTGTTCACATTTGAGCCTATTGAGTATTTGTGCCAAGTTTGGTCCAGATCCACCATTGTGTGAGTCCACAGTGCTCTCTGGATATAGGTGAACTACAACTCCCAGACTCAAGGTCAATACCCACCAAGCCCTTCCAGTGTTTTCCGTTGGTCATGGGAGTTCTGTATGGCAAATTTGGTTCAATTCCATTGCTGGTACAGTTCAGAATGCTCTTTGATTATAGGTGAACTATAAATCCCAGCAACTACAACTCCCAAATGACAAAATCAATCCTCTCCCAGCCCCACTAGCATTTACATGTGGTTGCATTGGGTATTTGTGCCCAGTTTGGTCCAGGGAATGAAAATACATCTTGCATATCTGATATTTACATTATGATTTATAACAGTAGTAAAATGACTGTTATGAAGTAGCAACAAAAAACAATGTTATGGTTGGGGGGTCACTACAACATGAGGGACTGTATTAAGGGGTCACGGCATTACGAAGGTTGAGAAACACTGTTATTATAGACCACTGCCAACTTGAATGGGACGTAGAGAGAATTCACGCCGGCCCATTTCCCTTCCCAACCGAGCCTTGCTTTGTTATCCCTGTCATTCTCTCTCTCTCTCTCTCTCTCTCAGCTTATCTGTCAGGTTTTGTTTACTTCCTCTCCTTCCTGACACTTCCTTCCAGATTTCCCCCCTCCCATTCCCTCCTGTCCTTTTCACTGCGCGAGGCGAAGGGAGCCCGCCCCCTTTTGGCCAATTAGAGGCGGGCGTTCTCCATCTGTGTGTGTGTGAGAGAGAGATGCGCGCGCCTGCCTGACTTGCGCGCGCGGCACCGCAGTGGAGCGCGAGGCGGGAGCAGGCTTGGAGTGCTGCTGCTGCTGCTGAGGCTGGACAGCTCCTCTCTGAGGGGAAGCGGCGGCGCAGCGCGAGCCTCCAACCAAGGGCACGCGACTGGGAGGGGAGGCCCGTAGCGTAGAAGGCTCGCCAGCCATTCAGAAGCAGGGCGCTCTGGTCTCCTCAGCAACGGGCCTAGAGATAGCCCAGGCTGCGCCCCTCTTTTTTTTTTCTTTTCCCGCCCAGCTGGGGTATTCACAGCTCCCTCACTCAGCCTGACTGCCCTTCCTTCCTTCCTTCCTTGCACATTCTCCAAGCTGAGGGAGGAGAAGAGCCTGCCTGCCTTCCTTTCTCCCTTCCTTCCTTCCTTTCTCCTCCCGCTCCTTTTTCTTCCACACTCCACCCAGAAATGATCTCGTGAAAATAGGAGGAGGTTCTTTTTTCCTTCCTTCTTTCCCTTCCTTCCTCTCCTTTCCTTCCCTTCCATCCTTCTTTCCTCCCTTTCCTTCCCTCTCCTTCCTACTCTCCCTTCCTTCCTTTCCTTTCCTTTCCTTCCATCCTTCCTTCCATCCTTCCCTTCCTTCCCTCCCTTCCCTTCCTTCCTTCCTTCCTTCCTTCCTTCCTTCCTTCCTTCCTTCCTTCCTTCCTTCCTTCACTTCCCTCTCTTTCCTTCTCTCCCTTCCTTCCTTCCCTTCCCTTCCACCCTTCTTTCCTTCCCTTCCTTCTCTCCCTTCCTTCCCTTCCCTTCTTCTCTCCCGGCCTTCTCTCACTTCCTTCCCTTCCTTCCTGTTCTTCCTTCCTTCCCTTCTTTCCTTCCCTTCCTTCTGTCCCTTCCCTTCCTTCCCTTTCCTTCTTCTCTCCCCTCCTTCTCTCCCTTCCTTCCCTTCCTTCCTGTTCTTCCTTCCTTCCCTTGCTTCCTTCCCTCTTCTGCTCCTTTCCCCCCCTGCTGGTCTGTGGACACTGCAGAGGGATCTCCCCATTGCTCAGTTCCCATCAGGGAAGACTGTTATTGTGGCCTTATTCTTATTTTTGAGGAAGGGAAGGGGTCTTGTTGGCAAGCTTCTCTGATGGTTCCCAACCATGGGGAAGGACCAGGAACTGCTGGAAGCTGCTCGCACTGGGAATGTGGCTTTGGTGGAGAAACTCTTGGCTGGCAGGAAAGGAGGGCTCCTGGGCAGTGGATCTGGACCCATTCCTCTATCCAACTTGCTGAGGTAGGGAGATGATTCCCCACCAGGCGCTGGGGAGTGTAGCCCCCTCCTCCTCATCACCACCCTCCTCATCCTCCTTATCATCATCCTCATCATCGCCATCTCCCTCCTCTTTCTCATGTTTGCTGGTATTATTCACAAGACCTAGACATCGTGTTTGGCCTCTTGAGATGTGCAACTGTCCTGTAATTTCTGTGCTTCAAAGTCGACATTAACACAGTTATGTTTGTGGGTTTTTTTCCCCCTCCCTTCAATGCGTCAGCAGGTGCTTGCTTTTGCTTTGAGACTTGCTCTGGTGCAGAACTTTAGCATATACAGAAGGCACTGACATACACATTGGTATGAATCCTTTTGTGTTTTCATTTTATGACAAATGATAAGGGCTAACGATGGCACATATATATAGTTGCATGGTAAATTGGTATGTGTGTTGTCCCTGTCCCCCCCAATGCTTATGTTTACAGCTCTCCTTTGAAGGAGAAAGAAACCTCTCTCATTAGTAAGACAGTATTGTGAAGGAATGTGAACCTCCTAATGAGAAATCAGCTACACAGAGTAAGTGTGAAATGTATGCAGCAGGTGCACTGGATTTTAGAACTATATGATAATGAGCTATTAAGCATTCACAGATGAATGGAGGTGACTTCTTATTCAGATAAGCCTCATATTATATGTATTTAATTTTAGGCATTAATAATATATTAATAGGCAGGTGAGAAGAATATCTTTCGCAGGCATTTGCCTTTTGTCAAATAAAAGAAGGCCTGCAGCACCCAGCTCTTCTGTTAGGACTACAGCAGACAAGAGCACAGCAAGGCAAAACGAATTGACATGCTATTGACCTAAAACTTAAACTAATGAGTAAGCGTGTTTCACTGAAAGAAAAAAAGCAGGCCTGCTCTGAAGTAATGAAAATTGTTTCAGTGACAGGCAAAAAAAGGTCTGGTGGTTTTCCAGGATTCTCTATAGTAGCAAGTTTAATATTTTCTCCAACTCACAGTATCGCTGCACAAAGATATATCAGCTTTAGATAAACTGTTTCATGCAGTGCTTTTGACATGAAATAAAATAAAATAAATAAATGCACAAAGGTATATTAAACACATGGTTCCCTTTCTTGCTAAATTTTTAAAAATTCAAATGGATAGTGTTTGAGGAGGCTGTGCTATTCCTTGATAGTAAAATGTCCAAAATTTCATAGTGACACAATTAACATATCTTTTGATTGTACTTTGTACCATTCTCATAAGTTGACTCTCTTAGGACCCTTCCAGATAGGCCCTGTATTCCAGGTTCTGATCCCAGGTTTTCTGCTTTAAACTGGATTATATGAGTCCATACTGCCAGATAATCTGGGATAAACTGAAAACCTGGGATCAGATCCTGGGATATAGGGCCTGTCTGGAAGGGTCTTTAGGATACATTTCATAGGGCAATAGTTTAAGTGTTACAGTGGTTCGCAACCCGTGGGTTGCAAGACCTAAAATAAGGTCTGTGACTCTAGATCAGACATCCTCAAACTGTGGCTCTCCAACTGTTTGGGACTCCAACTCTCAGAAGCTCTAATGAGCTTGTTCAATTGTCAGGAATTCTGGGAGTTGAAGGCCCAAGCTGGAGTGCCGCAGTTTGAGGATTCCTGCTCTAGATTATTAAATATGGTTTTCTATGGGCAAGCAACTGGTGACTACTGGATGGAATATGTTCTGTATCAGAAACTAGAGCTGATGTGGTCTATCCAATGCAGTTTTCTGAATCAACGCCCCAAATCACCAAACCAAATCTAAAGATGACCAAAAACCTTTTGGAACTAATGTTGGAGAGTGGTCCCTGGTAAAAGGGGTCCCTGGTCAAAAAATGGTTGGGAACCACTGTTTTATAATATATGTTCATCCACTTACTCACTTTTAATAACAGATGATGGAAGGAATATATTTACCGTATTACATATTAGAAAACTGTGCTATTTAATTATATAGAAAATGGATTACTGAAATTGAAAGTTAGATTTACAAGGATTCTTTTTAGAAGTCTCACTGGTTTTATCACACAGAGCAGTTGCATGATACTTCCCCCACCTTTTAACTTTTAAAAGTTAGGAAAGAGTATTAAAAAGTACAAAATACAACTTTTAAAGTGCATATATATTCATTTCTGATCCAGCCAACAGCAAGTGTTGAGTTGGCAAAGAAAAAAAAGAAATACATTTCAGTTTCTAACGTCTTTTTAGGTGCCTGAAATGGCCAATTTTTTCATCCTTACTACACCCTGTAGTTTGTCCATAGTGTAAAATTGTTGGGGAATCTGAGCTGTTAAGCTCAAAAATAACCCTCAGTTGGGGTGATTCCACCATAAATATAGAGTACCAGAAGTAAACTTCATAACTAGCAGAAACTTACGTGTGGTGAGCTGCGATAGGCTTCTACTCCTTAGGATGGCTTAGGAATGAAGAGTCAGAACTTGAGATTCAACAATATTTATTGAAGTAAGAGAAATACATTCTTGATAGAAAAGGTATTGGAGCCAACTAGCTTACTAAGTCTCAACTTCTAAAGGAGGTAAAAGGAAACAAGGTCCACGCAGCTACATTTTGCCTAGAGAGATGCAAATTAAGTCCTTACTGGAAGGAAGAAAAGGCAGAAATCTGAAAATGATGGAGATCACATAGTCAACCCAGGACAGTTTTTAAACTTAAGAGGAAGTTTCCTCACAGAATCCCATTACTACGTATGTCATCAAAGGGGGAGGAGACAGTAGCTAGTAGTGAAGAGGAAAGACAAAACTCTTTAGGGAAACATGCATAGGAATGTGGGGGAAGGAATCCCTCAGCTAAGCCCTGTCTCTAGCCTAGCTACACATTGTGGACTGGAAACTTTATGAAACAAGAGACTTGTGCAGTCCAGGGATGAAACCCAACAAAAAATATCAAACCAGTAAGCATGTGTTACATTGCTATGATTGTGGATTAATTTAGAATATAGCTTTATGGGTTTTTTTTTACTTTTCTTGACTTTACACTATTACTAACTTTATAGCTGTCTTTCACGATCAAATATTGGCAGTAGTTCTGACTGTACTTGCAGATGTAGGTTCCATTAAAATATCCTGCCAGCATCATAAAGTTGTTTAAGAGTGTCTCTGTAATTCCAGTTTTAATTGAAGCTTCTCTGCAACTGAAGATTTTGAAACCAGAATGCGTAGTTGAATGAAGTTTACATATTTTGGAATGGAATAGCTTAAATGTCTGAATGTTAGGATATATGAATGGATAAACTGTGAATACCAAAGTTTTAGAAGCTTCATAAAGAGGAAAAATTCCCTTTGACACAATTCTGGTGATACTGTATTACAGAACTTAGAAGCAAGCTATGAGCACCCAGAAATTACATGATGCTATATGCAAAAACAAATAAAGTAACACAAAAGTATTTATTTTATGAATTAACAAAAGAAAATGTATCATATGTCCAATGATGGCAACAAATGTCAGTGTTTGGCAGAGAAGAGCATTTGATTCTGGATGAACAAATTGACACAGCTTGCCACAAGATTTTGAATACATCAACAGACATCCGATGGATGGAGAGGTGTATTTGCAGTGACTGTTATGAATCCATCTCTCTGTTGTTGTGTTTACATGCTGGAGCCATGCCCCTCATGGCTGTTGAAAGCAGCCCTAGAGAGACTGGTGGATTGGATAAGAGAAATAGTGAGTGCCTCGCTACAACAAGCCTGACTTCAATCTTTTCTAAAAGAGCCTGTAGTGAGGTCAATGTTGAAAAATCCTCCCTTGAACCCACCATACCAATGAACTGTTAGCCTCCATCCTGGGATATCCCTCAGGGTTCAGTTTTGTCCCTCGTGCTAATATTTATATGAAACTACTAGGAGATGTCATTTGGAGTTTTAAGGTTCAGTATTAAAGGTTCAATACCATTAATATGCTAATGACACACAACTCTATTTCTCCTTTCCATCGGATACCAAGAAAGTTATTTCTGTGCTAAACCATTGTGTGCTATCAATAATGAAATAGATGAAGCCAAACAATTTTAAATTTAATCCAGACAAGACAAAGGTGTTGTTGGTCAGGTGGAAAGCTCTATAAGTAGGGATTCAACCTGTGCTGAATCAGGTTACACTCCCCTAGAAATTTCAGGTTTACAGCTTGGGAATGATTTTGGACTTGGATCGAAGCCTGAATGCTCATATTTCGGCTGTGTCTAAGGCTGACTCTACACTGCCCTACATCCCAGGATCTGATATCAGATTATCTTCTTATCCCAGATTATTTGGCAGTGTAGACTCATATAATCTAGTTTAATATTTATATGGGATATGGAGCTGTGTAGATCCATCCAAGGAGTTCATTAGCACTGTTAAAATTGGTCCACAAGCTGCACAAATTCCTTGAGAAGTAGACCTGGCTGTTACAGCACAAATGTGGCAAGAATGTGATACACAGTGTCAACATTCAGCTATCATTGTAAGCATAGCTGAAGTAGTTTTGAACAGTATAATTTGGTATAATATGTGGTGTGATAAGGTTCTAAATTTGATCACATCACACATATGGTTAAATTTCCCCACACATCCTCCAAGTTAAAAAGGGAGTGAGTTCAGGGTGGATTGGAAGAGGGGATGAGTTGCACATATTCTGTAGTATATTGGTGGAAAAGAATTATAAGAATGATCCATCCAACTGACACAAAGGAAGAAAAAGCACAAAGGCAAAGTAGTATTTTTCAGAACTCACAAAAGTTCCTTGTCATCAAAGAGAACAACACTTACCAAGTCAGAGTCTAAAAGTAAAAAACCTTCTTCTTATATTTATTGGTCTGTTGATGTAAATTTCTCCCCATAGTATGGTATTATCACTGATCTTCTTACAGCTGGTTCATAAGTCATTTGAACCTTTGGCCACTGCTGATGAACATGTACTCACCTTGAAAGTGGCACTCACATTGCTATCACCTCTGCAAGGAGTGCAGGTGAACTCATGGCAT